CAGGCAGAACAGTTTTAATTAAGTGAAACGGAAAGCAATGCGTCATATGGAGCAGTTAGTTGAAAACAAAGGATAAAGTGAGTGTGTATGTAGGAATTAAAGTAGTATAGGTATTCTTCCTCCTTCCTAGGGCGCTGTCCACGATGATTGGAGCAGAAAGGACGGACGGACTGAAGGACCAATAACAGGAGAGTTAAGTCTAAACCACGGCTTCTCCCCAACAGTTTTGGACCAATTAGATAGTAGTACCTTTTCTTACAAATATTGTATACCACTAAGTTGAGGACAGTCTTTTCTGTTTATCCTAAACAGTGAGGCTCCATGTGCACATGCTAATTTTGATACGTTAATGCATAATAAATTTCACACTGTGAAATATATATCCTCTTATTAGTCTTCTCTTTTCAATAAACGGACACGCCTCACACTTACAGTGACTTTCAGATGCAAAGGACAGATGTTTCTGCACGCTTCCTGTCCAGGCTGAAACAGCAAAGTTAGCAACTGGTCAGAAACACAGAGTTAAGCAACTGTATTCATGGAACCATTGTATTTCCTGTTTCTTGTAAAAGTAGCTATGATTTGTTCACGATTGAACCTTTAATGCGGTGGGTAGAGCAGTCGTCTCTCAACCAGAGGGTTGAAGGTTCAAATCTCGGTGCCTCCAGTCCACGTGTCGAAGTGTCCTTGGGCAAGACACTGAACCCCCTTATCCTTATTCTTAATGTCATTTAATGTGACATTTTCCAAAATATTACGCAGAAATACTTATACTGATATTTAAGCTCACAATCATTACATAGATAACCTGTAGGGCAATTAATGGCAAATATTTTCGTTGTACTTTATAAAACAGCGATAATTGATAACAGCTATTAACTTTTACGATATCTTCGGATCTTGTATTTATGAGAAAACATTAAACATTACATATTAATAGTCATCACTAGTGCAAACAGACAAGCCTTTACACGAAACAGGAAGTAAACGACGTTGCTTTGGATAGCAGTGCTTTACAGTGTGGGCCTGTGTTTTAACCTGTATTTGTTGACGTTTTAACACAAAATTAACTATTTCAGTTCATTTTGCCATGTGCTATTGGATGGAAACTGTCAATTAAATACGTTGATACTGATGAAATCTCAAAAATTCAAGGATTATCAGTGAAGTTCTGAAGCGTTCCAAACCCTGCCCCCATTGTACATGATCTCATATCTTGTCTTCTAATTAACAGAATATGATTTTGTAATTCTGAGATAGCGATAAGAGCCTTCGTTTTCCCTTTGGTGAATGCAATGACCTTCCATAGTTAAACGTGAATTGAACTTCGTTTTACTGCCACGAACCCACCTTTTCTGCTGCTGCCCTTTTACTTCACCTTGCAGATTTAAAACAAAAATAATCTATAAACAAATAGCACTTTCCGAATGAGAGGTCAGCCCCCCTCTCAAACCGGCTGGACATTGGTGAGCCATGAAATTTCTCGGGTCAGAGTTCAGTCACAGCATGAGAAGGAGGTGAAGGAGGAAGGGTCAATACGCGACCCTATGAATAGGTAAACAAACTTTAGGTATGAGTGAAACATTGTAAAACGCCTTTAGTGCTTACCTCGAGATAGAGTCCGCGGCGAGTTTTGTAAAAGCCTGTCTGTGAGTATTACAAGCCTCCGAGTTGCGTGTTGGTGTCTAACGAGCTTTTAAGTACTTCAGCTCCAGCGGAACTTCCTGAGAAGTATTTACTCTCAGATACTGTATGTATGTATGTATGTATGTATGTGTGTGTGTGTGTGTGTGTGTGTGCGTGATGTATGCTTTGATGGAAGTGTTCTGGAAAAAGTCCTCGTCTCCAAATTCCAAGTCCACATGCAGTCAGTGATTTCTGGGACCCAATCATTGCGATTTTTTCTTCATCTAGACAACAGATCTAGTTTAATATATGACCTATACTTATTTAAATAGACATCTTTATCTAAAATAAACAATTGTATATGACTGGCAGGGAAATGGTGGCGCTGACTGCAGTCAAATCAGCCGCAAACGGGCCAAAGCTCACGATTTTCAAAATAAAACACCTTAACTCTAATGCTGGATTAATTATGAACTTTCAAACTTAATATAAACACTTTTCTTAATATTTACAGCATAAGGACATCATTTCTAGATTCTACATGACCCGCACTATTACCACACAAAGAATCAAGCATTTCTACTGGACCTTTCTGGAGAAAAATCACATTAAAAAAAGTGTTTTTATTAAACTTGTAAGTTCATAATTTATACAGCATTGGAGTCACATCTTTAATGTGACTTTGCTCCAGAAAGGTACAGTAGAAATGCTTGATTCTTTGTGTGGTAATAGTGCGGGTCATGTAGAATCTAGAAATGATGTCCTTATGCTGTAAATATTTTTTAAAAAGTGTTTTTATTAAACTTGGAAGTTCACAGCATTGGAGTTAAGGTATTTTATTTTGAAAATCGTGAGCTTTGACCCGCAATACCTTTACCGTAAATGTAAGTATATAGAGTATATCGGCGCACTTCAAATTCTAGCGCGGCTGGCTTGACCACGGAAAACTGAACTGCGGCTGATTTGACCGCAGTTGGCGCTGTGCCTATACCTGACCACCATTCCTGCGCAGAGATCAGCGCAAAGTGATGCCCCTGAATAGTCTCAACGGAAATGTCGCTTCCGTCTGAGCGGATGTTCAATCCAAAGAATCGGGAGTGGGTAGAGGTAAATGTTTGGTGTTTGGCTTAGGTTTGGGCGAAGTTAAACGTCATGAGACACAGATGGATAATTGTTCGGAGGAATGTTAGGTTCAGATTAAGATTAAGTGGAACAAGACTTAAATTAACCCCCAAAGTCGTATTCCGAGTCTTGGATTTAGCATTAATCCTTCCTCGCATCAGCGTAGTGTTTGAAAACCAACTGTTCGGCTTTTAGACTTTGACGGCAGTGCCCGTCTTTAAATACGCTTTTGAGTCGTGTTAAAACATTCAAGCCTTGATAAACTAATATCGATAAAAGGATGTTTGCTTCTTTGTGACACAGTGAGGCTTAATTCCGTTTAGTTTAACAGTAATTCTAGAATAGTTAGCAAGTTGACTTTATTGCTAGGTAACGTTAGCTGTCAACAAATCATCTGCTTTTCATGATGTTTCGTTGCTGACAGACATTAGATAAAGTAATTTGTTACTGTTATTTAGCTGTTTTTCTACCAGATACCTTCTTATTTACCAGTAGTGTGTTATACAAAGATAATTATATTGCTCAAGGTGGAGCCAAATGCTCCTTGAATTTCATCTTAATTTATTAACTTTTTCAACCAACTGCTGTGAACATAATACAAATGTTATATAGAAAGTTGATGAACTTGGCTTTATATGTTTTAGGTTAGTCATCAGGTTGATTTATTTCCCTGCATATCCTACAAATTAAATAATCTAACATTAGTCCAATTATAATATATAAAATATAATTGAGTGTGGAGCTGCAGTAATTAATTGATTAGTTGTTCAACAGAATTAAAACTATTTGCTTTAGTAATGAATTGATCAATCATTTTTAGTTGAGTTAAGTATTTAAATGCTCTATAAACCCAAAGTGATACCTTTCCACAGACAGAAAATTCAAAGGATAAAACTATACGGTACTTAGGTGAAATGTATAAAGGCATTTTTTGCAATATTTTTTTGATTAACATATATTCACTGAGTGTAGATTGATTGGCATCAATAGCAGTTTTATTCATTTAAATTGCTACACATTACAGTGTGGGATCTGAATACTTTCTGAAGCCATTGATCATATAATCATTGACTCTTTCGTCAGCTCTACTTGTGTAATTTTAGTTATTCATTGATTTTGCAGATTGTTTCTTTTACTTAATTAGGTTGAAGATCTTTAGTAGATGGTTTTTGTATTGCTTCCTTGCAGAATGGAGAATTCAGAGACCAGTCCGTCATCAGGGCCCCTGTCAGGGGCGGACAGAGGTATGGCACGGCCCTCAGGTCCTCCAGCTCAGCTGTCAGAGTTAGCCAGGCCCTCCAAGTCACCAAGGAGACGGCGGGAGGCGAAAAGGTTGCAGCGACGTGGCGATGGTCATGAACAGCTGCTCTGGGAGATGGAGCGGCGGAGGTTGCCAGGCCAACATGAGCACTTGGAGCCCTGTGGGTCAGCAAGTGACACAGCGGAAAGCTCGCCTAAGAGGTTTGCACTGCAGGTTGACATCTGGTCCGTCGTGCCACTGACACTACTCTGCTGCCTGGGATGTGACATGGTAGTATCTGACTCCTCTCTCTTTTTTTCTTTTTAACTCCTTAGGAGAGCCCACTTTCTACATGGACCATATCCAGCCACTCACTTTGGACCCAAAGCCTGTATTCTTCCCAACCCAACTTCAGTCATGTAAGCATGAGGGTGCTGAATGAGTTGAACTTTGTGTGTCCACACCACTTGTCGGGGCCATTGACACAGAAAAGATTGTGTAACTGTGTGAGATAAGATAAAGCCTAAATGCTTGTGATTGGATGTTGCATGAAACGGGATGGCTCTCAGAGCACAGATGTGTGTTGTCCCCTGGTCCCAGGGTGTTTCATTGGACTTTCCAAAATCACATAGACAGTTTTCTCCAAAAATGCCTGTGATACGCAACAAAAAGGATAACAGAGACAAACGGTAAATGGGGGTGGGAGAAGTTTTTTATATTTTGGTTTTTGCAATTTGAACCTGAACATTTAATGGAGGATTGTAGCTGTTAGCATGGCTTAGCATTTGGCTTTATTTAGAGCCTTTCAGGATCTAACAAATTTAACTAGTGTTTCACAATAGTGGGTTATGTAACAGTTTAGTCTATTTATATTCCACCTATAGTCTAATCTACTTTTTCAATCTCTTTTTTTTTCCTGTATCTGTATTTTTGTGGTTGTAACAGCAGTAAGATGCACATTTGTGTTTCTTTACTCACTAGTGTGTGTATATCCATGTCTCAGGCACATCCAGGATCCCGCCAGCCAGCGACTCACCTGGAACAAACCTCCTGTCAACGTGCTCGTCATTCGAAAAATCAGAGACGAGAGCCTGGTGGAGCCTTTCAAAGAGCTCTGCAGGTTTCTAGTGGAGGTACAGGATCACAGTATTTAATATACAGTGTGGTTGAGATAGTTAATGTTTTTATGATGGGCGGCATGGTGGAGCAGTGGTTAGTGCTATTGCATCAGCTGACTCGGGGCCCTTCTGTGTGGGCTTTGAAAGTTACAGCCTGGTCTCATTCAGTTCTAACACCTTTGGCCATGTTTCCAAAACAAACTCTACTTTGTATAACAAGGCTGTCATAGTTGGTCAGCGAACTCATATTCTTTCATTCCATCCAAACACTTGTATATTAAACAGCATGTGTTTGGCATATGCTCAGCCTTATTCTGGAAAGTGTACTTTTGAGAGATGTCTTTGTGTGTTTTGGCTCTTGCCACTACAGTAAAGTATGTCTTTATGGATCAGGAGAAGCAGATGATGGTGTACGTGGAGCGCAGAGTCGCAGATGATGCTATGCTGTCAAAGGATGAGACCTTCGGCTCAATCCGCAATCAGCTCTGCACCTTCAGAGAGGGTGAGGCTCATGTGTCCTAATGCCTTTAACACACACCTGCTCCTGAGGGAAATATCTGACTTCTAAGACATTTTCTCCCTTCTGAAACAGGAGAAACAATTTTATTTTGCTGCACCAGTTTGAATTAGGATTTTTAAAATCTTTGTAAGTGGGATAACAGTGGGAAAATGATTCTGTTGTAAATAAGCGTTTTTGTCCACATACAGGTTATGATGATATCTCTGACTGCATAGATTTAATCATCTGCCTGGGTGGAGATGGGACTCTGCTCTATGCCTCCTCTCTTTTCCAGGTAATCACACTGGATTAGTTTTTATCCTTAAAGTCAAGCTGAACACCTAAAACATTTAATACTAGATAAAGGAAATGGAAATCTTGTAGATTCTAACCTTCTGTAATTAATACTGTCAAATCTCTGGGTAACATGGTTTGATTTTAATGTGGTGTTATATCTTTACAATGGTTCATTTTCTTGCTTCTACGCATTTTCTATTTTTAACTCAAATTGTTAAATCATAAGAAGTTAATTGTGTAATTGCCTATAATAAGCTCTTGTTAATTAACTTTTATAGAATATAGCATCACAGATAATAAAAAAGTATACAAGATATTTAATTAATGCCAGATGTATACAGATTGTCCACCATCATGAGCAGTTTGACAACTGGTGTCCTGACTGGGGTGAGAAGGTAAATCCAGCCTAGCTAGTCAGCCTGACTTTCACTACATTGTTTTAATGTTCTGTAGGCCAGCGTCCCTCCGGTTATGGCGTTTCATCTCGGTTCTCTGGGTTTCCTTACGCCCTTCAAGTTTGAGTCGTACAAGACTGAAGTAGCCAAAGTGTTTGAAGGTAGCGTGCAGCTGTAACTGTTGCAGTCACTTGTATTTGAATCTAAACACTCAATATCTGTAACCTTCAAGCTCATTCTCTCCTGAAGTGTCAAACTTTGAAACAAATCTTCACTTTCATGCACCTGTATGTGGACTTTCAGGCAATGCTGCCATTACTCTGCGTAGTCGTTTGAAGGTGAAGGTGGTGAAGGACATGCTTCAGAGAACAGGTCATCAGTTGTTCGGCCAAGAGCCACCGCCGCAGCAAGAGCACAATGGGCTCCTTCCTCTCGGGCATACCAGCAGCGAGTCCGGCAAGGTCACCCTACAGCTACAGGTGAGGATGCTAGGTGACAAATTTGTTGATGCAGTTTATCATCGGTCAGTAAATGGCATCAAACACTGTTTGAACAAAGTTCAGTGTGTGTCAGAAGTTTTTGACCAAATTCTCAGTGTGAGTTCTGCTAGAATATGTTTTTGTTTATGTAAAGGAGCTTATTGCACAGTTTATTAAAATACAGCAACATGCCTCAAACTGATATTGTAAAGACCTGCACAGATCATACAGTACCAGGATTTTATAATACCCATCCCACACAGTGTGACACGGTGTCTAAACATGCATGATTATCTCCCAGTCTAAAGGTGCCATGAGGCGCTTCTCTCTGATGACCCAGAGACTTTGCCACGCTGAATGTCACTGATTGGTTGAGCAGGACTGGAAGCCACTACAGTCAATATTAGAATGACAGTTGGATATTTCTAAAAAGTTTGATGTTTTATTTTTATTGACAAGGTGTTCAGGAGAGAGAGAAAATGAGTGTACTGTATATGGGACCACATTGAGAGGGAATGAGCGAGAGAGAGACAAAGTGAGGAAACTGCTGATTAGGTTTTTTTTACTTTGTTCCTTGCTGATTATTTCATTGCAGTTAGATACTAAAAAAGGAATAAAGTAGAACTTTACATTTTCCTGAAACAATATGTGTGCTCATTGCTGAACTTTCACAGTTTAAACTTGTGAAATAATGAATAAGCAAAAGGTGAACTATAAATACTAAAAGGTGAAGTTGCAGTTAAAGTGCTGAAAGAAGCGGAGTTAAATTTCTGTGCAAGCACTGACGGGAGTTCAGATGTCAGTTGAAGTGTAAGTGGTGAAGTCAACTGTAGCTGTCAGCTGAAGTGGAAGTCCTCACAGTCAGGTCAAACATATAAACTGAAAAGTTCTGTCACTTAGTGTCCACTGAATGCAGTTTGGAGCACATCATCTACTTTGGAGACAGATGCTTTTGAGTTTTCAGTTCCCTTCTCCACCTTTGCACGTCGCCTTCACTTACATTAATTTCATCAGTCAGTAAATACAAACAACAACACGACAACTGTTTCCTCGTGTGAAAATGACCTCAGATGCAGCTGTTTTTTAATCAGTTATCAGACTAATTTGCCTAATACTCCTTGTTCTTTGGACAAGGTGAACATAGGAGTCTTTGCATTGGATTTACAATTCTCACTGTAGTGGCTTCATAGGTCTTGGAAACATTTGGTTGCTGGTGTGACTGCGCTTTGTCCTTTATTTCCTCCTGACCGTCACACTCCTGAAGTGACGCGGTAAGCCCACAGCTATGATGGAGGCCGACACTGTCCTGTTTATTTTTCATCCACCTGGGTTTGTGTGTGTGCGTACATGTGTATGGCGCGGTGAGCAAGCGTCACCTTGGTTGCAGTGGTGACAGCCATAATAAAACTAATATGGGAGAAGAAATCGGATGTTGTGAAGTTCTGTTGAGCCTGTTGCCATGGAGACAGTGGCGTCCATAGCGCAGCCGAATGGATACTTAGTGACGCTCTCGGTCTGACACTCTGTAAACAACATGCTACACTGCTGCAGTCTCTCTCTCTCTCACACACACATACACTGTGCTACAGTTTGTCAATTTCAGTGCAGCTTGCTCATCTTTCCTCCCACTCCGGAGTTTTTCGCCTCATCGTTAAAATACACTGATCCATTGTTCAGGTCTTTGTTTGACCTCCCATTACATCATGTCTGCAGTGTCCAGCAGGATGAGTGCTCTGGGCTAAACTGACGTCATGTGCCAGACATCACTGCTTGGTGCTGCAGTATTTTGTCTCACTGACTGAAATTGAAACGTGGAACATGATTCTGCTTGTCTGCACACCGGCATTTTCTGTTTCCTTGTGTAATGTAGGATTGTAGTGGCCTGCAAACCGTAGTCTGCTGCTGACTCATTTATTATTTTTATTCAGTGTCTTTATTTAGTGCCTTGATTAGATTCACAATAGTCTCGTATTTGCTGCCTGTGCAAAAGAATTGCATATTGAAGACTTGAAGAATTCAGTTAATCAGGTTTTTCAGTGGCAGTAGTTTTTTTTTCACGTTACATATTAAGGGCAGTATAGTTATTTTATCTTAATCATCTCCCAGCAAAGGGGTTTTGTTTTCAGTAATTTAGCTTGTTTTTTGTTAGCTGTTATCTCAAGAAGTGCACTAAAGGTTTTAATGAATTTTTGCTGCAAGTTTAGAATTGAAGACAGAGTGGCTAGTTTTTGGTGTGAATAGCACCATCATGTGGGTATTTATAAAATGCTTTAAATTGAGCACTATCTAAATTTTTGTTTTTAAAATGTTTTCCTGGCCTTGTACTGATTCCAAGATTGGCAGGGAGCCTATACCAGCTGACATTGGGCAAGAGGCAGGGTCCACCCTGGACAGGTCACCAGTCTATAACAGGGCTGACAGAGACATACTCACACTCACTCCTATGGGCAATTTAGTCACCATGCAGCCTAAGCTGCATGGACTGTGAGAGGAAGCCCGAGTACCCAGAGAGAACCCACGCAGGCACAGGGAGAGCATACAAACTCCACATAAAAGGCACCGGGTCGGCCTGGGCTCAAACCCGGAACCTTCTTGCTGTGAGGCGACAGTGCTAACCACTGTTCGCCTGGTGCAAGACTTTTTTTTTTTTTTTTTTTTACCCTGAAAAAAAGACAGTTTTTTGTTTTTAACATGCTATTCAATTTTCCTGCAGTTGGAAGCTAAATATTACATATTAAAGTAAATACAAACAGGTGACTAAAGGAAAAGCCTGAACCAGTGAGTGGTCTCTTCCAGGATGATAGTGCCAACATCCATAGGGCACAAGGGGTCACTGAATGTTTTGATGTGTGAAAATGATGGGAATCATAATGCTATGGCCTTCAGTCACCAGATCTCAACCCAGTTGAACCCCTATGGTAGATTTTGGAGCGACGTGTTAGACAGCATCTCCATCTCCATCACCATCATTAAAACAGCAAATGAGGGAATAGCTTTTGGAAGATTGGTGCTGTAGACTTCAGACGCTTGTAGAATCCAAGCCAAGGCACAATGAAGCCGTTCTGTTGTCACATGATGGTCTGACAGCTTACTAAGACACATTTGGTTTTCCTTTAATTTGCCAACTGTCAGTATATACTCATCAGCACATCAAAACCGCTATGGTATTTGACCTATGGGTGGCACTGCAGTAAGAATTTACTTGGTCATGAGTTTGATTTTGTTTGCACTAAGGTCTGATATTCCCAAACAAGTTTTCTCAAGCATCAACATGATGATATGTCACAATTTTGATAATGGCTGAACTATTCAAACATCAAACTAGAAAATCGTGCCGCTCTGATGGAGGGGTTTTCTAATCTTAACTGTGCTCTGTGTGTTATATAGGTGTTGAATGAGGTGGTGGTGGATCGAGGCCCATCCTCTTACCTGTCAAATGTAGACTTGTACCTCGATGGACGACTTATCACCTCAGTGCAGGGAGATGGTAAGGACAAGCATACCACTGTCTCCTTTTTCTTTTTCTTTTTTTTTACACCATGGCTGAAATTTTAACGCGAAGCTCTCACAGTGAGGTCTTTCCAGAAAAAACAAATGGTGAGAACTTAACACAAATGAAGATAATCTGGTAAAAACCCCTCAGTCACTTTCTCTGCCCTCCAGGTGTGATCGTGTCCACACCTACAGGCAGCACAGCATACGCAGCTGCAGCAGGAGCCTCAATGATCCACCCCAATGTACCCGCCATCATGGTCACCCCCATCTGCCCACACTCGCTCTCCTTCAGGCCCATTGTTGTCCCTGCTGGGGTGGAGCTCATGGTAAGAGTAAAGAAGAGAAGTAGAGCTGCAATACCCATTAACCTCAGCTGAACTTCATTTCTTCTGCCAATTAGCATACGTTAGCATGTAAGATGGCAATAACAGTAGACATTATACCTGCTAAACATCACAATGTTAGCATTCAGTTTAAAACACCATTTTGTCAAAATGCTGCCTCACAGAGCTGCTGGCAAGAGAGTGAATGTTTACTCGTGTTTCTGATCTTGGTAACTGACAGTGTGTCCTCTTGTAAAACAGATCACCTTGTCCCCTGATGCCAGAAACACCGCCTGGGTGTCGTTTGATGGCAGGAAGAGACAGGAGATCCAACATGGAGACTGGTAAACTTTATCAACTGCCAGTATCTTCTTGTGATCACTATACAGATTTCCGTTTCCTCAATCTGTTTAATTTGCTCTGTTTCTCTTCCAACAGCATCAAGATCACTACATCTTGTTATCCGGTGCCGTCTATCTGTTGTCATGACCTGGTGTACGACTGGTTCGAAAGTCTGGCTCAGTGTTTGCACTGGAACGTACGCAAGAGGCAGGCGCGGCTGGCAGATGTCTCGGACTCCTCAGACACGGAAAACTGAATCCCAGAGTGTTTTTGCTGGCTTGAGTTGAAGACATCCAGCCGACACTCTCCACAGCAGCTGAGTGAGTGAGTGAGAATGAGGGGACCGGGTTTGTTGGAAAATGTTCTGTGAACATTTTCAGGGCAAGAACACTGGACTGTGCTAGAGAGAGCGAGCGTGCATGTACAGCCCAAATCAGTGTTACATCAGTCCTATAAATGACATGTACAATGAGCAAACTGTGTACAGTTTTTTATATACTGAGTCCTCTCATTTCATTCCAGCTTTATCTGTATCTTACAGGGAAAAAAGCATGTCTCTCGCCTAGAAGTGTAAAAGGCAAGCATTACTTAAATGATTACATAGTCACCTGAAGCTCCTCACGAGGATTCTGAAAACTGTTTCTTTCGGACTTGAAGCACTAACTCATCGATTTGATCAGTGTACAGTGAAAGCTCCATATGTGCCTGGATTATTGGTAGAAATACACTGATACAGCTGAAAGTGTGTACATACATACAAATTAGTTATATAGCACATTTTCCTGCACAAAGGCGAATCAGAGTGCTAAACACAATGCACACAGGTAAACGAAACATTAAAATGCAAATATAGATAAAACATTAGAATGCAAATGAGTGTCATTTTTATGGGGGTGGGACGTTGTAAAGGTAACAGTTTTTGCTATTCAGCCAAAGACTATTGTGCGCTAGGGCTGCACGATTAATTGTTTTTCGATCTTGATCTCGATTCAGAACCCTACGCGGTCATATTTGCATGTGAGGATGATTCTGTTGTGTTTACGTTACCAGGGAGATCTCCTACATCAAACCAAGCGCTCCCTTTCCATTGCTCAGCTGTGTTAACCAATAACAGGAATGCGTTACATCACATGGTGAGCTGTACACAGGACGAGAAGACTGATTCGAAATAAGCCCAATATGTAGAGACGACAACAGCCAGAGGTATTCCCGGGGCCGACGGTGTGTATTACCGGTTTGCATTTAGAGGCAGAAAAGCACATTTGAATGAGGCAGAAAATCTTAAGCCAGATTTCATGATTATTAACCTGCCAGGTCATAATGTCAAAATCTGTAACAGAAGACAGTAGTGAGGAAATAAAGTCTTAAAAACTTTCACACTTCTTGTTTAGTCCAACTTGTGTGTTGTGTGTAGGGCTGCAACTAAGGGTTATTTTCATTGTGAATTCATCTGCAGAATATTTAGGGATTTATCAGTTATCTGATTATACTAGGTAATGGAATTAAATATGATTTTGTCCACCCAAAACCCCATCGTGTACTTTTACTTTTTAGTGTCTGCTTTCTCATAATCCATACATAGCTGCAACTAACATCTTTTTCTAATATTGATTGATTTGACACTTATTTTCCCATTGGTAATTTTATCAGAATATAGTGAAAAATTCATATGTTTGCTAACAGCAAATACATTTGTGAAGGTGAAACCAGTGAGTTTTTGGCATTTGTACTTTAAAATCAACAGTTTGTCAAATTGTTACAATTAATCTTCTGTCACTCAACTAATTGATCAACTAATCATTGTAGCTCTAGTATTTTCCAGTGCCAAAAAAAGAGCAATATTCCAGAGAAAATGTGACAATACTCGGATGCTTTCTATATTTTTATTGCAATGATAAGATACAGATATATTTCTAGACATCCAATTTTATTAAATTATACTCCAATATTGCATGAGACAGTCTTCAGGATGATATTGATCCAAAGGTGGACAACAAGGTGATCAAAGGACACAGTTTTTGACCAGAAATAAAATGTTTTACAATTTCACATCTATCTCCCACCGAAATGTGCGATGAGAAGCAGCAGCAGCAGCAGAGAGAGTAGTAATACTACAATAAACAACAGACCGATACTGTGCAACAGTCAAGAACAATTGGAAGAATAATTGTCTTTTCTCTCTTTAGTGAAATGTTTTTTGTCAGTGTTGAGCAACTGACAACTCAGATGACACAGATGCACTTTCTGTTTTGGGAGAGAGAAAAAAATTCGTATCACAAAACAAACATGGTGGCGTGTGAGCTAGAAAGTCAGAGCTACAGCCCTCAGTGGGATTACAGGAGACAGGAGAATAAATTACTAAATACAGTCTGGGTGAGTTCAGTTTTAGGCAGGACAAATGTGCAGAAGGTGTGGAATTTATTAAAATATTGTTTTGCCACATCCAATTATGTGCTAAGCAGTAGGTCGCTATCAGTGTTACACAAACCACTGGTTTTATAACCTCGGGTTGACTGACTGACCATCGTTAGTGAGAGAAATCACTAACTAATCGTTACTGTGGAAAATGTTAAAAAAAAAAACAAAAAAAAAACAGATGCTGACAGCTAATTAATTCCCATTGTTTTCTAACCCTAGATATTACCTTTAAATAATGAATACACACTTTATGATCACAAAAAAAAAAAAAATAATAGACACCCCATGGAATAAAAATTATACCTAATACAAAAAGGGGGAAAAAGAAGCTGCGTTATAGTTTTGTAGACTCCAAGTAGTTTATATATATATATTTGATATTTCAATAGAATCCATATATAAATGAAAAGTTTTTATGCTTAAATATAACTATGATTAAAAAAAAAGCTTCTAAGACATTTCTACCCAGAAGATAATGTGAAGGAACAGCTTGGACCTCAGCCGCCAGCCACTGGGCTCGGACTGGAAATTAAACCTCCCGCTGTTCTCACATGATGAGACAGGACCGGTCTGGATAAGAGTCTAGTGTGTTTAAATGATTTCATCAAGAACAAAAGTCTTTGTTTAGCTGCACACAAATCTGGTGCTGTGCTTTTTTCTTCTTGCTGATGTCGTCAAAGATGAGGAAGGTTTGAGGAGTTTGATGCCATGGTTAAAAATCAAACAAATTAAAGTTGACCCCTCACTCTCACACTCAGCTCTCCGTGTGAAATCAGCATGCATAACGTTATTAGCTGCGTTTGGCACAGGAGTTAGCTTCACTCTTTATCTGGAGGACCATCAGGACCAGAGCCTTTTCAATGATGGATGACCCCACTCATCCAGCACATGGACTGTTTGAATTCCTTCCCCCAGGCAGGAGGCTGCGGAGCATCACGAGCAGGACCACCAGGCTTAAATCCAGTTTCTTACCAGAAGCTGTGAGAATTATGAATTCTAGGCCTCTTTGATGGACTGATGCATTTTAAATATGATGCCCGTTTGTTTTAATGCTCTTGTTACATTTAGGTTTTCTCATTTACTATATTTATTTATTGCCATATTATTATTTTATATGCTTTTAATATATACTGGTCCTGAGTGACTAATTTCATTCTTCATGTGTCAGACATGTAGAATGGCAATAAAGGAACCTTGAAAACCTTGGTTCTGTTTGCAGAAGAGTCAGTCAACATTATCTAGCTTTAGTAAAAAGTTGTTTTTTTTAAATCCAAGTGTGCCTACTGAGCCCCAGTTGCTCACATTTAATCTTTAAGATGAGTCCCACATTGTTAAACATGAAGTCAGACTGTGGAGAGAACTACTCTATGATCATCAGCCATTTATTAAAAGAAATGTTTCTCACTGACAACGGCGAGTGCCTCAAACAGCCATACTACTCCACAATTTAAATATTCTAAACCGGCCACAATATGGTCATCATTTTTTTTTTTTTTTTTTTTTTTGTAATTTTTGTTAAAATACAATTTTTTT